GCACAGAACTGTTGTGGCCTCTGTTCAGCAAGAGGAAGTGGGTTTCTCTGGGGATTGTGCTCTTCGTCAGCACACAAAAAAGCCACTCTTACATGATATGTGTGTCGTGGCAGGTGCTGATCTTTGCGGAGAAGAAGGCAGATGTTGATGCGATCCACGAGTATCTTCTTCTCAAGGGTGTGGAAGCTGTGGCCATCCATGGAGGCAAAGGTCTGTGAGGGTGCTGTGGAGGTGTGGTCCTGTCTGATCCCACTCCTTCCTGGCGTGTGAGCATGGGAGGTCCCAGCACGTAGCTGTTTGTCACTGCGTGAGGATGGACTGGGGCAGTGTCAGGACCTCTGGTAGGGAGTGCAGCTTTACTTACTATCATAGCAGATGTAAGCACCATACAGCTAGCTCCCTGCGGGACCTGCGAGTCCCTCTGCTGCTTCATCTGGGAAAGGACGTGTAGGTTTTCACACAGGAGAGACTTAGACTTTGTAATGCTCAGCTTTAAGGCTGCAGTGGTTGCTGCAAGAGGTAGGACTGGGAGCTCTGACCTACTCATCTTCTGTGCTGGATGTTTACAGATCAGGAGGAGCGGACAAAAGCCATTGAGGCCTTCCGAGATGGGAAGAAGGATGTTCTGGTTGCCACTGATGTCGCTTCTAAGGGCCTGGACTTCCCTGCCATCCAGCACGTCATCAACTATGACATGCCTGAGGAGATTGAGAACTACGGTGGGGAACGGGGCCAGCAGAGGCACTGAGGGAGAGTAGCTGGGTGGCCACAGGCCAGGAGGGCTGTGCACCCATCGTGGTGGTCAGTGGGACAGGGGTGCCATGTTGCATTTGTCCTGGCCTCATCCTGTCTGTTTCTTTGCAGTTCACCGTATTGGGCGTACAGGTCGCTCAGGCAACACTGGTATTGCCACCACCTTCATCAATAAAGCCTGTGGTGAGAAACTGCGTGGGATGGGGGGAGCCTGCGGGGTGAGCTGCACTGTGTGATGCAGCTGGACAAAGAGCTGCTGCTGCTTGGGTGTGGGTGGTGTTCCCCTGCAAGCAGGGGAAAGTGGTTACGGTTCACAGAGAGGTGGTGGTGACATGGGGCATTGTCACCACTTGGGTGCTGGCCTCAGGGCCCTGCACATCATTCTTTGCACTCTTGTGTTGGGCTTCTGCTAGGACTGTATCTGATCTGTGTCTCTGCCCCCAGATGAGTCGGTGCTCATGGACTTGAAGGCTCTGCTCCTGGAGGCGAAGCAGAAGGTGCCCCCTGTGCTCCAGGTGCTGCACTGTGGGGATGAGACCATGCTGGACATTGGAGGTGAGGAACCCTGTGCTGGGATGGAGAACTTCTGTGGGACTCTTAGAGTGACACGGGCTGCAGACAGGGTCCCAGCTCCCGTCGCTTCAGGCTCATGGAGTGGCTCCTGTCTCCCTGCCTGCTGGGTGCCTGCTTTGTCACCTGGCCTGGCACACAGCTCAGCCTGATCTCCTTCTTCCCATTGCAGGTGAGCGGGGCTGTGCCTTCTGTGGTGGCCTGGGCCATCGCATCACTGACTGTCCTAAGCTGGAGGCGATGCAGACCAAGCAAGTCAGCAACATTGGCCGCAAGGACTACCTAGCTCACAGCTCTATGGACTTCTAGCCTGGGGACTGTGCTGTTCAGTGCTCCCCTGCGCAGGCCAGGAGAGGAGGTTGGCTGCTTCTCTTTGACCTGGGGTTCACATTCTAAAACCCAGACCGACCTTGTACCACAAGACTCTCCTGTACTTCTGTGACCTGTTTTTTTGGGGACTGTCAACTGCTCAGCCTTCCTGAGCTCCTGCCCTAGATGGAAATGCGTGGAGCTGTGCTGCAGCAGCCCGATACCTCACAGCAGTGTGACACTGACGTGCTGAGCAGGCAGGGCGTGGTGGGGGAAACTCTAGGTGGGACGACTGGTTTGTGGCTGGTGGGCTGCTGCCCATGCCTAAGGACTTCTATCCAGCCCCTCCAAAGCCTCACAGTCTCCTTCCTCTCACCTTGATCTGTTCATCCTAGCTGTTCCTGTTAACACCAGCGGTGCTCTGGTGCAGCCAGGGCTAAGCCAAGCACGCCGTGCTTATGTCAGGTTGTCCCCTGAGAGCTGCCTGTACTCTCACAGTATGCGTTCTGCCCCGCTGCAAGGGGTGGGCGGATGGACACCTCCTGTGGCCCAGCCTTTGCCTGTCATCCCACACACCAAAAAGGGGAAGTGTCAGAGAGAAGGAAGTCTGCCCTATGCAGTTGCTTTGGCTGAAGCAGTCACATTTCTGTGCTGCCAGCGGCCCAAGCCCCAGAGCCCTGTGTTGGCTGCTGGGGCAGTGCTGGGCCCATGGAGAGACCAGTGAAGGATGGCATCCTCTACGTCCAGCACTGCAGATTTGGAAAGGTAAAGGGCAGAGGGGGGATTTGTGGCTGGATATAGGGTTTGTACTGCTGGCATGCTGCTTGGTCTGGGCCTGAGCCCCCCACCATCTGGGAAGGGAGTGAGCAGAGCTGGACCCCTTTAGGCTCCAGCTGTAGTGGTGGTGCTCTCCCACTGCTGAGGGATCCATCTGTGCGTGCACAAGCTTGTGCTCACCCCTAAGGGCTGTGACCTTGCCTGGTCATTGCGTGGCGTGCAATGAAACAATAAAGGTGTGTTACTGAGGCACAGCTCCGTGTGCGTGCGAGTGGGGGAACAGGAGGATTGCTGGGTTGAACCTGGTCCTGGGGCAGTGCCGTGGGAGAAGCGATGGCTTTGTGTGCTTGGATCTGTGGGGACATCATGGGTGACATCATGGCAGCCCCTGGAGCTGCGTGTTCACAGACTGCCTCCTGCTAGCCTTCTCACGGCGCAGAGTGCTCTGTGCTCACTGTGTGTGCGGGGTACACAGAGTGTGCTAACAGCTCTGCTCCCACCTCGGGACTCCATGAGAGCCAAGTCCTAGAGCTGAAGCGCGCAGCCCCCACGTGCATGGGGCTGATGCTCGGCCATGTGGGAGGTCGATGGGTATTTTGGGTGCTCTGCCACACATCTGTTTTCCAGGGCGGAGGCTCTGCTGTGCACTTGAGGTAAGTGGGGGCTTGCAGCCCCTCCATCTCGTGATGGGCTGGGAAGGGACGGGTGCTGCAGAGCCTCCCCTGGGAGGAAGTAGGCTGCAAGCTGCAGGGCCTGGCTGTGTGCAGCAGATGCGAGCTGCCAGCAGGAGCACGGCAGCTCAAAATGGCTTTCATTTGCATGGCGGTCCAGCATCGGAACAGATTCTGTGCCCTGTTGCAGTGCGCATCCTCATAGGCAGAGACCCCTGCGTGCCCATTCCTAAGCCACATGGACGTGGCAGACAGCTCCCTGCTGTCACTTTTTCCCCGTATCCACACCCTGCCTCCATTCCAGCGGACCTGGAGGAAGATGCGAGCACAGCTCTTTGCTGCCAGCCCCTTTGGTGTGGCCCGCATGGAGAAGTTTGATGCACGGGATGAGGGCACAGTGCCTGATGCCTCCCTGTGGCGCTGCGCCCGCCGTGTCATCCGCCTGTCTGACTGTGTCTCCGTTGGCCCCATGGGCACTGAGAGCTGCCCCAAAGCCACTGCCGCCTTCTACCTCACCACCACGGAGAAGAACTATGTGCTGGCAGCTGAGCATCGGGATGAGTGGATCGAGCAGCTCTGCCAGCTGGCCTTTCAGGTACGCCCAGCATCTTCCCGCTGCTTCAGGCAAGGAGAATGAGGGTGCTGGGGGGGGGGGCCGCATTCACCTCCCTCTGTTCCAGGTCAAAAAGGAAGCAGCACAGAGTAGCGGCACCGGGCTGCAGCCCATCCCTATGGAGGAGAACTGCCTCTACTCCTCGTGGCAGGATCGTACGTGCTGCAGTGTGGCTGGGGGTGGGGGAGAGGGCTTTCCCCTGGCTGTGCAGCAGGACTGACCTCACTCTGCTTCCACAGTGACAGAGTTCCCAGTGCTGGTGCTGAGGACGGAGGCAGCCGCCCGCTGCGAGCTGCACGGGCACTACGTGCTGGCAGCCCTGCCCCAGAGCTTGACGCTGAAGGATGCGCAGTCCCAGCAGCCCCTGCTCACCTGGCCCTACCCGTTCCTCCGCAAATTCGGCCAAGATCAGGTAGGTGCACCCTCCCCGGGGGCCTCCACCTGCAGGAGTAGCAGGTGCCAGCCCCTCACCCTGCCCTCTGTCCCAGCAGAACATCTTCTCCTTTGAAGCCGGCCGCCGCAGCGACTCGGGCGAGGGCACCTTCACCTTCAGCACCCCGCGAGCCCCAGAGCTGTGCCGGGCCGTGGCCGCCGCCATCGCCTGTCAGCAGCAGGGCCGGGAGAGCCCCCAGCTGGCAGCCCAAGGTCTTGGTACCCAACCCTGGGGGCCAGAGGCTGAAGACCCCCAGCACAGCCCGATGCTGGGCCGGCCGCAGCCAGGCTCACACTCGGCCTCGCATCCCTCGCCCAACCTTCTCCGCTTCCCCACCGTGGAGCCGGAGGCTGCTGGCCCTATATTGTACGCCTCCATCGCTCGCGGCCAGCAGCCCCACTTCGGGCCGTGCCCGGCCAAGCCGCTCTCCGAGCATCTCTATGAGAACATCTTCACGGCCCAGCCTCGGCCTCGGGCGGAGGAAGAGCAGGACGAGGAGGAGGAGGAAGGGCGCTGGGAGCTGGGCTGTCGCCAGGCCCCCGAGGGCCACAGCAGCGAGGCCGCCGCCCCCTACCCCGCCAGCAGCGCCCCGCAGCCCCACAGGCAGCGCTGGGGGCCGGGAGGAAGCAGAGGCGATGCGGAGGAACACTCCAGGCCTAAGGCTCAGCGCACCCTGCGGGCCAAACTGGTGCGGCTGCTGAGTCGGGACGGCCCCGGCGCGCGGGACTGGCCGTGAGCGGGAATAAAGGCCGTGCACCGCCCGACCCCGGGGCCGCGGCCGGCCGCCAGGGGGCGCCGTAACACCCTCCGTCATTGGTGTAACCGAGCGGCGGCTCCGCCCCGCCCCGCTCCTGTATAAGCTCGCGCCGGTCGGGGAGGGGGCGGTGCCCGAGTTCGAGTCCCCCGGCCGACTGCTCCGCTCGCCCGTTGCGCCGCGACCAGCTCGGCCCCGCACCGCCGGGCGGCCCTGCCCCGCCGCGGGTGAGTGAGTGCGGGCGGGACCGCGGCGTGTGGGGAGGAGCGGGGACCGGGGCTGAGTAGTGGGTCGGGGGTGGGAAGCCGATTGCTTGGGTCAGTGGAAAAGGAGGCTGTGTGGGGCGGGTGGGGCTGGCTGGGGCACCGGACCCCCCGTGGGGCGAAGCTGGAACGGGGGTCGGGGCGTGGCTGCGCTCCGCGGGACGCGGGGACCCCACGGGACGTGGCTCTGCACATCTTTAGATAGAGGGCACAGCCTCCGCTGGAGGGGGCTTCTGTCTCGCCCCTCCTCTCGAACAGACCACGGCCCGGTGCTGCCGCAGCCCTCGGAGCGGGGAGCCCCGTCGGGGCTGTGCGGCCGCTCCGTGCTGGGGAATGTCTGACACGCAGCCTGCGCCCAGCGAGCGGGGAGCAGCGGGTGTCAGCTTACACGCCTTATATAGCCCGGGCCGGCTGGGGGAGCGGGGGCACCGCGGGCTCCGGCCTCGCAGCTTCTCTGCCCCATCGGGGCACGGGGAGATGTCGCAGAGCGGGGCCTTTGCCTGCCACGTAGGGCTCAGGAGGTCCTCGCGGTTCCCTTTAGGCGAGGTACAGACGCGTGCCCCGTGCCTGGGCCGGCTGACAGCTGTCAGTGTGAGCACGGGGCATCCATTCCTCCTGCCCAGAACCCTGCGGAGATGGGCTCACACCCAGGTACAGCTGCTCGACCAGCTGCTGCTGCTGCTGCAGCCCAGCTGCTGTGCCAGGCGGCTCCGGTGGCACTGTGCTGCTGTGCTGCTCACCAGGCAAAACGCCTGTGGCTGCCATCCCTCCGTGCTGCTGCCTCTCTGCTGCCTGGAACAGCTCCTAGCAGCTCGAGGTTCTGTAACAGTGCTGCAGAGCCCGTCCTGGGCTTGGGATGGTTGAGTGTCACTGTGTGCATTACTCTGGCCCCTCGGCTCCAACGCCCCTTAGGAGATGCTGATGGATGTGGGGTGCGTCCCTAACCACGCTGTGGGATGGTCAGGGTGGAGCTCCTGCTGGCAGTGTGACCTGTCTCCTCCTGCCCAGTCCTGCTGGGCCCCCTCCTCGCCTGCTCCCCATGTCGTTCCCATGCAGCATGATGTCAGGATCACACCCTCTTCCATTTTGCAGAGATGGGCGAGATGGAGTCCTATAAGGTGATGCTGAACGGGCCGGCGCCCTGGGGCTTCCGGCTGCAGGGAGGGAAGGACTTCAGCATGCCGCTCTCCATCTCCAGGGTAAGAGGCGCTGAGAGCTGGTATCGCCCACCCTCCTGCTGTCCATGGGTGGGAAGCTGCAGCTGTGTCCAAGCAGCTGAGGCAGAGCTGTACGGGGGATGTGAGCAAGCTGGGCCTTGGAACACTGGTTCTCACTCTGCTTTAACCCCCTTAGAGCCACCCAGACCCTTATCAGCTCTGGTTTGGCCAGAGGGAATATGTGCTGGGGGTGTTCCGGGCAGGGAACTGCAGCGGCGATGTGAAATGCTGTGCAGGCTCCTCAGTGTCACGATGCGGTGGGAGGCAGGGGGGCCTCTTCCGGAGCCAGCCCTGTGCAGGGGCAGCTCTCTGTGCGTGAACTGCAGGACCGGCCTGGTCTGCACTGTGATACCAGGCTCGGTGCCTCGGGGCCAGCTTTGTGCAGGCACTGTGCCTGACACTGCACTCCCACTGGTCCTGGGACAGGTCCCATCCGTAAAGCCAGCCCGCTTCTGAAGCAGAGGCATGTACAAAATGTGCTGCCAGCTGCTTACAGCTGGGGCACCTGGTGGGAGATTTTCATGTGATGCTTACCCAGGTCGAAGCTGTCTCTTGGGTTTGTGTGGCTCCCCGTCCTTGGGTGGCCTGCACCACGGGTGCTTGCAGCAGCTCCAGCTGCAGAATTGCCTTATAAGCCTTGGAATGTGTCTGCACCGCCCGTGCTGCTGACGCTGGGGCAGCTGGCACAGGGCTGTGGCTCTGAGCACAGCACTGGGCACAGCGTGGGGCCTGCCCCCCGCACTGTGTGCACATCCCAGGCCACGGGTCTCTGCAACACCCACCCCAGGGGCACCGTGCAAGGCTGGAGTCACCCATGCCACTGCCCTGGGGCCGACCAATCTTTGCAAGGAACAGAGACGGCTTCAGCAAGTTTATTCTCTAAAAAATGTTTCTCTTGGCTGCAAGCCAGGGCTTAACAAAGGGTCTGATCAGGCGGTGGAGCCTCCGAGAGCCTGGGGCTGGGGCCTCATGGAGCAGCAGCGACGTGTGTGCAGGCCAGCCCCGCTGCAGGGCCTGGAGAGATGCTGCTGGCAGAGCAGGGCAAGGCTCAACAGGGTCCCAGCACCTTGGCTGCACAGTGCCAAGGAGGATGCTCCCTTGTGCCTGCCTGCCACCTCGCTGGTTGACTTGGAGCCTTGGATGGAGGTATCCAGCCGAGGTGGCACTCTGAGGTGTGAGGACAAAGGCCCAGCTGGGCGGAGAGGCAAGGAAGGAAGCTGCGACTGGTGGGGCTGGGCAGGAGCCTCAGCCCACGGTGCAGGAAACGGGAAGGCTGGAGCAGCTCCTGGCTGGAATCTGTTGAGCTGGCACCTGCCGAAGGGCTTTCCTGGCGCACTTGGGTGCGGCGGCGTGACGCAGCCTGCCATGCTCCCCCCTGCCCAGGCAGCCATGTGAAAACCTCTCCCAGCTCCTACTGCTGCCTTAAACCCATGCTGCTTCCCAGCCTGAGGGGCAGCAAGCTGGGGCTTGCAGGAGTGGCCGGGAGCCGGCCAGAGCTGCTTGCTGCCTCCAGCATCCTTCAGTGCCAGGTAGTGCCAGAGGTACTGCAGGGGATGCTGTGACCCTCTGGGAATGGCAGTGGAGCCAGGGTACCTGGTGCTGTGCTCAGGGCGGGCTGGGCTCTGCGCATAGCCATGATGCTCGGTGGCAGGGATTTTCCAGCCCTCTGACAGTGCTGGGAATCTGGCTCGCTCCTTTTATGTTCATGTTGAACAGGGCTTGAGGAAATACTTGGTCTGAATCCAAACGCCTCGAGTTGTTCTGTGCTGGAGGAGCAGGAATGGCTGCAGCCTGCCCACGTCTGTCTGTCTGAGTGTCTGTCTGTCAATACCTGAGAGCTGTGTTCAGTGGTGCAGGGGCTAGGGACTGCTTATCTCCAACAGAAATAGGGGTGTCCGGGGGTGGTCCAGGCATATCCCAGCCCCATTGCTGGGCTGGATGAAGGGAACAGACAAGACAGGAGCACAACATAGCTGGAAGATACAGGGGGCTCTCCCCGCCCCTGTGAAGGCTGGGAGCATGCCTGTGGTTTACAGCCCATGGGGTGAGCTGTGGGCTGCATGACAGGCCCTGACTCACCCTGCTCGCTTCCTGCCCCGGGACCTTGGGGCCGGCTCCATGACCTCCTGCTGCAGCTGAGCCAGCACAGCCTCTGCTGCTGGGCATCGCCTCAGAACGCCTGGGCTGTCCCCGGGCCACCTGTAGGGGTGGTGCTGGCACATCTCCCAGCAGTGCTGTGCTGCAGTGTGGTGCCTGGGGCAGGGCTTAGCTGCTACAAGGAAGAGAGGCTCTCTGGGATAACAAACTGGGGAACACAGGGAGCTCTGGGGGTTCTTGCATCAGGCACAGTGTGTTTGGGCTGCAGTGGCACTGTGCTGCGGGAGCTGCCCGGTAGCGGGGTTAGGAGCTGTTCAGGGTGTGCTCAGTGGCCCTCTCTGTGGCTCTGGGCACAAGAGCATCACTCCATTTACTGCTGGTTTCCCTGACACTCTCTGTTCTGCAGCTGACTCCAGGTGGAAAGGCTGCCCAGGCCGGTGTGGGAGTGGGCGACTGGGTGCTGTACATTGATGGGGAGAGCACCAGCGCCATGACGCACATCGAGGCCCAGAACAGGATCCGCGCCTGCGGGGACAGGCTCTGCCTCACTCTGAGCAGGTAGGATGTGTGGATCCTGAGAACTTACGGTGCTGGTGCAGCTGGAACAAAGCTGTGGCCCTGTACCCGTCGCCTCCCCGAGCCCAATGGCCCTGCTGCCATGAGGCAGCATCACTCATCTCCCGCAGCCCTGGCTGGATCTGAGGGCTCTGCACGGCTGGATGGGGCTCATCCCATCTGCGGCAATCCCGGCTTTAAGCCGTCACCTCAGACCGTGGGTTAGTGCTACCTGGCTACAGTTCCTCAGTGTCAGCATGCCAGCCATGATGGATGCTGGGCACGTGCAGATCTGCCTCACTGTGTCCTCTCTTGCAGAGCCCAGAACCACCTGGGGAAGCCACAGAAGGTAGGTGTTGCTCCAGCACTGCTGGCAGCTGCTCAGCCGTGGGCTGGGGGTGGGGAAGTCTCTGAGCTTAATCAGAGGAGCGGACTTTGCTCCTGGGGCCCAAGGGCTTCTTGGGGACCAGGATGTGTTTAGAAGGCTTGCAAATTCCCCGCATGTTCAGCAGCTGCAGCACAGCCTTCAGGCCCCATGTTCGCTAGTGCTGGAGCTCGCTCTTGCATGGGGAGGCAGGGCTGGGGCCAGTGGCTGCTAGGCAGAAGCCACTTGCATGCTTTCTGCTTTGTACCTTGGGATGGTTGTGAGCAGTGTGAGTGCATGCAGAGCCCCACCACGGGGCACTTACTAATCCTCAGGCTGAGTTTGCAGCCTGGTGTCCCTGGGCGGGATGCCCCGCAGAGTGGGGACCTGGCTGGCAGAGCCGCACGTGCTGTCAATGCCCATGTGTCACTGCGAGGCTCTGCGGGCAAGAATGGGTCCAGCATTCCCACCTGGCTGCCTGCTGCGCTGCCTGGCCCAGGGCTGCCCCTTGCATGCTGCTTGACGTGTGAGCCCTTGTCTGTGTGTTTTGTCTCGCTCAGGACTCACTCCCCTGCTCTGAGCCCCTGAAATATAACTTCGCTCCCAGCACCGCCCTCAACAAAACAGCTCGGCCCTTCGGGGCCGGCTCGCCTCCGAACCCACGGCCCGGGCTGGTGACGAAACCCGTGACGTACGTGCCCCTGGCGCCCGCCTGCACCCCCCAGCACAATGGGTATGTTGCTGTCCATCCTGCTCTCCAAGAATACCAGGGAGCCCGCTGCCCGGCCCTGCTGCACCTTGCATGCCAGGCACCTGTGGGTGGGAGTGGGCAGTGGTTCCCGTGCTGAGGTGCTGAGACTGAGCAACAGGACTGTCACACGTGGGGACACACACACACGCCTCTTCCTTGCTCGGGGCTGTGTCCTCCTGCACTGGCCTTTGGAAAGCGCTGGAGGGCATGGCACAGCAGCTGCAGGATGCTCGCTGCTGTCTCTGCCAGCCCTGCGACAAGGGGCAGGAAGGCTGCGGTTGCAATCAGCAGCACCAGCCCAGGGCCACGACACAACGCTTCCGGGACGTGCAGGACAAAGGGAAGCCATAGAGCCCTGCACAGTGCTGCCCATGCCAGTCCTGAGCCCTGTATGGATGCTCCAGTCTGCACATTGTGTACTCTGCTGCTGTGTGCCCACCCTGCTGCCGCTCCTGCCCACAGGACCCTGGAGCTGGTCAATGGGGCACATGGCCCTGGCTGTTCTCTGCACCCGGTGGGTGCGGAGTGGGGCTGAGGGTGGCATGATCAGATCTGTTGTCCCTGCAGCCCATTGTGCTCTCAGCCATGGGTGAGATGGGCACGTGTCGCAGGGGCAGGGAAAGTGGTGCAGGCTGTAGGTGAGCTCTGGAAACTTCTTGGGTTCTGTGGGTCTAATTTCACTTTCCTTCTCTTTCTTTCTTTTCTCCCTTTCTCTTTCCCTCTCTCCTACAGGTGCAGAGCCTTGACAAGTCAGTAAGCCTTTTGCCTGCTCTCTCTAGCCTTCCTGCATGCCTCTTGCCCTGTTAGTGGCCCACTGGTGCCCTGTTCTCTGGGCAGGGTTAATTAGCCCAGGGGTTCAGCGTCCCCAGGCTGACAGCTCCTGGCTGCAAGCTGTCCTTAGCCTGAAATGCAAGTGCTGCTGACTGCAAGGGTGTCAGGATGTCCTTACACCAGTTCCTTCTCCAGCACAAGAAAGGCTGTGCTATGCACCCTTCTTTCAGCATCACTGGTGCTAATCGAGCACCATGCAGTTCACCTGCGTGTGATTTGGATCTTGGCTTATCCTTGCCCCATTCTCTCTCCTCCTGGCCTTTAGGGCTGGGCTCAAACTGCAGAGATGGGAAATCTGTCCTGAGAAGACATCCTTAGTGGCCCCTTCCTTTGCTGATGGTGTGGGGTGGGGAGGAGGACAACGTATGATGTGTCAAATGTGTGCTGTCGTGCTACTGCTGTGAGCTTGAAGAGATGTGGGATGGCCCCAGGGGGGATGCTGTGGGGATCCCCGTGGGTCTGTGGGGCAGTGGTGTGTGCCGGTCCCTGTGCCACCAGGCAGGGGCAGGACAGTGCTGGCTGAGCACCTGCCCCTGTTGCTCATAGGAAACCACAGGAGCACCCCAGTTCCCCCAAATATGACCCCAGCAAGTTGCATCTGATCGAGGATTCGGAGGACTGGCAGCCCCGCAACACCAGCACCCAGTCCCGTTCCTTCCTCAAACTGGCCCAGCTGACGGGCACAGACAGCTGTAAGTCCCTGCCGGTCTGGGGCTGCCTGCGGGTTCCTGGAGTCAACCTGGCTGCGGGGTGAGGTGGTGGCGCTCTGACTGCAGTGGCCCTGTGTGTGGCATGGGCCATATGGGGGCATACGGTGGTGTCTGGGGCGCTGGTATGGGGGAAGCAGGGAGGGGTGCCCAGTTCTCATCCCTTCGCACTGTGTGGGGCCGTGCTGCCGCCGACTGACTCTGTCTCCTCCTTTCTCCCTGCTGCACTCAGTTGAGGACCACGAGGACGAGCTGGTTAGGAAGCCCAGGTAAGGGGCGGCACAGGGTGTACCACGGCTCCTGGCTATGGTGCTGCAGCGGTGGGGCTCAACCCCCCCTGTTGGCCTCACACTCATGGCTGGTGGCGAGTGCAGCTCCTGTCCTCTGCTGTCCTGTCCTGTCACCTCCTGCTCCCTGTCCCTCTCTGTCCTTTCACTCTCTCTAGAGCTGAGGTATTCATGGAGATGCAGCACCTGCACTGCTCTCGCCTCTGCGATGGGCACCGCCAGCACTGGGCCACAGCTGTGTCCGTCCTGTTACGAGGGTCCTGCCTGGGCACTGTGCTGCTGCTGTCCCCAGACTGGGCATCCCCTGCTGGACCCTGGGCACTGCTGGCACTGGGGAGGCCAAGCTGCAGATGCAGCGGGTTGATGGGGCCTGCTGGCACTGGTGTGGCCTGACTACTGCTGTTGGGAGGTACTGGGCTTTATTTGGGCCTTGGGTACAAGGTGCTGTGACTGTGGTGTGGGGCTGGAGGGGAGCTGGACTGGTATGAATGCTGCTGCATCACTATGGGGCTGGAGATAAGCCATGGGAGATGCTCCATACTGTGTGCTGGTGATTCACCCTTGCGTCGCCATTTTCTCGCCGCCACAGGGGTCCCCGTGTGTCATTTTGGGGTACAGAGGAGGAGTGGTGAGTGCTGGGCCGTTACAGGGGTTCATGTGGGTTCTGCCCCCTGCTGGCAGCTGGACAGGACCAGGTCCATGGTGCCAGCTGAGCGCCTGCCCCTGTTGCTCACAGGCAGTCCATGCACCCCCCCGGCACCCCCACGTGTGACCCAGGCAAGCTGCGGCTGATGGAGGACGCTGAGGACTGGCAGCCCCGCACCGGCACCTCCCAGTCCCGCTCCTTCCGCAAACTGGCCCGGCTGACGGGCACTGATGGCCGTAAGTCCCTGCCGCTGCCTGGAGCTGCCTGCTGTTGTGGGTCGAGGGGCACCGGGCCGTGGCCGTGGTGGCCCCACGTTATCCCTGTGTTTGGTGCAGGCTGAGTGGGGCTGTGGGAGCCCCGAGTGTGCTGTGGGCCGTGCGGGCACACGGTGGTGCTCGGGGTGCTGGTGTGGGGGAGCAGGGAGGGGTGCCGGTCCTCATAACTTGTGCTGTGTGGGGCCATGCTGCCGCCGACTGACTTTCTCCTCCTTTCTCCCTTCTGCACTCAGTTGAGGATCGCGAGGATGAGCTGGTTAGGAAGCCCAGGTAAGGAGCAGGCAGCTCCTCTCCTCTGCTGTCCTGTCCTGTCGCCTCCTGCTCTCTGTCCCTCTCTGTCCTTTCCCTCTTTTGAGAGCTGAGGTGGTCACAGAGCCTCAGCACCTCTGTGCTGAGCCACAGCTGTAGCCATCTCATTTCGATGGTCCTTCCCCAGGCACTGCAGTGCCTCTGTCGCCAGACAGTGTGCCCTGATGCTGGGCTGTCCCTGGCAGGACCCTGGGAACTGCTGGTGCTGGGGAAGTTGAACTGTACCACAGCATCCCAGACACGGCACGTTGGTGGGGTCTGGTGGCATTGGCACAGGCTGACTGGGGATGTTGGGGGGTGTGCAGCAGCACTGGAAGCTCAGCCCATGGGGCTTTTTGGTGGCTTTTATGGAGCAAATGTTGCCAGCACTGTTGTTGCGCTCAGAGGTTGGTGGGGCTGAGCTGTAGGAAATGCCACGTACCAGTGATTTACTGTTGTGCCGCAATTTTCTTGCACTGCAGAGATGCCCGTGCGTCCTTCTGTGGTACAGAGGAGCAGCGGTGAGTGTTGGGCTGTGGCTGGGGTTGATGTGTGTTGGGCGTTCAGACAGTGCTGCCCCATGCTGGCAGCTGAGCAGGGCCAGGCTCAGGTCAGTGCCAGCTGAGTGCCTGCCCCTGACACTTACAGGCAGCCCCCATCCCACGTGGAGCCCCCAACAACCCCTGCATGTGACCCGGGCAAGCTGCGGCTGATGGAGGATGCTGAGGGCTGGCAGCCCCGCACCGGCACCTCCCAGTCCCACTCCTTCCGCAAACTGGCCCGGCTGACGGGCACTGATGGCCGTAAGTCCCTGTGGGTCTGGGGCTGTCTGGAGCTTCTTGAAGTTGCGGGTTGAATTGATTCCAGGCTGTGGCTGTGATGGCCCCACGTTATCCCTGCATGCAGTGTGGGTCCGTGGAAGCCCTGAGTGTGCCATGGGCCGTGTGTGGACATAGAGTGGTGCCCGGGGTGCTGGTGTGGGGGAAGCAGGAAGGGGTGCCTGGTCCTCATCCCTTTGTGCTGTGTGGGGCCGTGCTGCTGCCGACTGACTCTGTCTCCTCCTTTCTCCCCACTGCACTCAGTTGAGGACCGTGAGGACGAGCTGGTTAGGAAGCCCAGGTAAGGAGCAGGCAGCTCCTGTTCTCTACTGTCCTGTCCTGTCCTGTCACCTTCTGCTCTCTGTCCCTCTCTGTCCTTTCCCTCTTTCTAGAACTGAGGCAGTTACTCATTGTGATGGTCCTGCCTGGGCATCACACTGGTACTGTCCCCTGCTGCTTTGCCCTGATGCTGGAATGTCCCCAGTCTGGGCGTCCCTGGCAGGACCCTGGGCATTGCTGGCATCAGGGAGGCTGCACTGCACCATGGCATCCCAGACACAGTGGGTTACTGGGGTCTGGTGGCACTGGCAAAGCCAGGGCAGCACTGGGACCTCATGCAAGGGAGCCTGTGGGGCTTTGTGGTGGCTAATTAGGTCCAAGTGCTGCCAGCGTCTTCACTGGGGTCAGGCTTCTGTGGAGCTGGGGGTCAGCTCTGCGGAGGTCTCCACAGCGTGCCAGTGATTTACCATTTTCCCACCATTTCCTTGCACCATAGGGATGCCCGCGGGTCGTTCTGTGGTACAGAGGAGCAGTGGTGAGTGCTGGGCTGTGGCTGGGGTTGATGTGTGTTGGGCATTCAGGCAGTGCTGCCCCATGCCGCTGGGTGGGCAGCGCAGGGTCAGGTCCGTGCCAGCTAGCTCCTGCCCCTGTCACTCACAGGCAGCCCCCGCCCCACGTGGAGCCCCCCACAACCCCTGCGTGTGACCCGGGCAAGTTGCGTCTGTTTGAGGATGCTGAGGACTGGCAGCCCCGCACCGGCACCTCCCAGTCCCGCTCCTTCCGCAAACTGGCCCGGCTGACGGGCACTGATGGCCGTAAGTCCCTGTGGGTACCAGAGATGGCTCCGGCTGTGGGTTGATGTGGCACCTGGTTGTGGTCGTGGCAGCCCCTTCTGTTCCTGTGTTTGCCATCTGTGGGCTGTGGTGGTGCCTGGGGCATTGGTTTTGGGGTTGAGAGGGAGTGGGTGCTCGGTCCTCATTCCTATATGCTGTGCGGGGCCACGGACTGACTCTTTCTCCTCCTTTCTCCCTGCTGTGCTCAGTGGAAGAGGTGTTTGTTAAGAATCCCAGGTAAGGGACTGTGAGGCGCAGCATGAGCTCTGGGCTGCATGTCCTGGGTAGGGCTGTGGGCACTGCTGGCACTGAGCTGGGGCAGTTGAGCTGTGCTCTTGGGACGAACAGGAGTGTGGTGGCACTGGCAGACCTCGCTGTGGGTGTCGGAAGGCACTGGGCAGCGCTGTAACAGGGTGCTGAAACCCAGGGGGCTGCAGGGGCCAGACAGAGCTGCTGCATGCTGCTGGTTGCTCTGTGGGGCTGGGCTGTGTGAGGAAAGGAGCGGGGACTATGGGGGAAGGCTGTATCCCTCTGAGCTGGGACAGCATCTGAGTGCTCCTGCTGGGGGCAGCTCTCCTGCCTTCCCCTTCTGCAAACCCTCCTGCTTTGGATCAGTGTGTGAGTGCTGGAGCTGGGCAGCTGCCTGGGAGCACTGCTGTTGTGACCAGGGGCTGGGGATAAGGCACAGGGAACACTATGCCAAGTGCCAGAGATTCACCATTGTGCTGCCATTTTGTCACTGCAGCAGGGATGCCCGCGGGTCGTTCTGTGGTACAGAGGAGCAGTGGTGAGTGCCGGGCTGTGGCAGTAGTCAGGGTGGGCCAGGGCCTTGGCCACGGCTGCCCCGTGCTGGCAGCTGGACAGGGCCAGGTCCACGTTGGTGCCAGCTGAGCGCCTGCCCCTATCACTCACAGGCAGCCCCCGCCCCACGTGGAGCCCCCCACCACCCCTGCGTGTGACCCGGGCAAGTTGCGTCTGTTTGAGGACGCTGAGGACTGGCAGCCCCGCACCGGCACCTCCCAGTCCCGCTCCTTCCGCAAACTGGCCCGGCTGACGGGCACTGATGGCCGTAAGTCCCTGTGGGTCTGGGGCTGCCTGGAGCTGCCTGCTGTTGTGGGTCGAGGGGCACCGGGCCGTGGCCGTGGTGGCCCCACGTTATCCCTGTGTTTGGTGCAGGCTGAGTGGGGCTGTGGGAGCCCCGAGTGTGCTGTGGGCCGTGCGGGCACACGGTGGTGCTCGGGGTGCTGGTGTGGGGAAGCAGGGAGGGGTGCCGGTCCTCATAACTTGTGCTGTGTGGGGCTGTGCTGCCGCCGACTGACTCTGTCTCCTCCTTTCTCCCTTCTGCACTCAGTTGAGGATCGCGAGGATGAGCTGGTTAGGAAGCCCAGGTAAGGAGCAGGCAGCTCCTCTCCTCTGCTGTCCTGTCCTGTCGCCTCCTGCTCTCTGTCCCTCTCTGTCCTTTCCCTCTTTTGAGAGCTGAGGTGGTCACAGAGCCTCAGCACCTGCGCTGAACTCACCTCTGCGATGGGCACCACTGGCACTGGGCCACAGCTGTGACCGTCTCGTTGTGAGGGTCCTGCACGTTGGTTCTGTCCCCGGCTGCTGTGCCCTGATGCTGGGCTGTCCCCAGTATGGGTGACCCTGGCAGGACCCTGGGCACTGCTAGCGGTAGGGAGGCTGCACTGCACTTCAGTGTCCTGACACAAAGAGTCAGTGGTGCCTGGTGGCATTGGCACAGCCTGGCTGTGGGCATCAGGAGATCCAGGACAGCGCCGACACCTCAGCATGAGGGGCAGCAGTGCTGGGGTGGGACTGCAGGGGAGCTGGGAGCTGGGAGCTGGAGGAAGCAAATTTTGCTGGCATAACCGTGGGGCTGGGGACAAGCCGTGGGGAATGCTCCGTGCTGTGTGCCCGTGATTTATCCTTGTGCCGCCGTTTTCTCTACACCACAGAAGTCCCCACGTGTCGTACTGTGGTTCGGAGGAGCCGCGGTGAGTCTGTGGCGGAGGTCTGGGCATACGAAGCCCTCGGGCAGTTCTGCCATCGGGGCAGGGCCAGGGTCAGGTCAGTGCCAGCTGAGTGCCTGCCTGTCAACCGCAGGCAGCCCCCGCCCCACGTGGAGCCCCCCACCACCCCTGCGTGTGACCCGGGCAAGTTGCGTCTGTTTGAGGATGCTGAGGACTGGCAGCCCCGCACCGGCACCTCCCAGTCCCGCTCCTTCCGCAAACTGGCCCGGCTGACGGGCACTGATGGCCGTAAGTCCCTGTGGGTCTGGGGCTGCCTGGAGCTGCCTGCTGTTGTGGGTTGAGGCGGCACCGGGCCGTGATGTTCCTGTGCTGTTTGTGTGTTGGCCGTGTGTGTGTGGTGCCCGGGGTGCTGGTGTGGGGGAAGCAGGGAGGGCTGCCCGCTTCTCGTCCCTTCGTGCCGTGTGGGGCCGTGCTGCCGCCGACTGACCCTGTCTCCTCCTTTCTTCCCGCTGCATTCAGTGGAAGATGATGATGTATTTATTAAAAAGCCCAGGTAAGGGGGGTGCAAGCATAGATTCCTGGACTGTATATCCAGGCCTTTGGGCACTGCTGGCACTGCGCTGGGGTGGTTGAGCTGCACTGTGGTCTCTTGGGCAGCTGGGGTGAGGAGGAGTGTGCTGGCACTGGCAGACCCTGCTGGGGGTGTTGGGAGGTGCTGTGCATCTTTTAGAGATCAGTGGGTGAGCTCCTGAGGCTCGAGGCCCTGCATGGAAGCAAGGAAGGACACAGGCTAGGGCTGTGGCACAGCTTTGCCTTTCCACCATCCCTCCTGCCTTCGTGCCGTGACCAGATCTGCCTGGTTTGCTCTGTTGCAGTTAAACACTTGTGTTTTTATAGCTAGCTCCTTCTTGTCCTTGCCCTCAAGAGGCACAAAGGCACTGGCTTTCCATCTGACACTGTCCTTGCTCCTCTGGGTGCTGCTTGCCCTGGCTTCTTATAAGTCCAGTGCTGGCAGGGTGCAGGGGGGGCACAAACTTTGTCCCCTGTTGTACCAACTCATCCCTGCTCTTCCTGGCTCTGCTGGAGCTGGCCCAGGGCTCCCCACACTACCAGATGCTGTGTGTGAGGTGGAGGTGTGCCTGGACACTGTCACACTGGAGCGAGTAGTATTGTGTGTGATGCCCCAAGTCCTTGGCCAGCCCACAGCACCTCAGCATTAGGGCACAGTGGTCCTGTGCTCCCACCCTGCTGGGTGCCACAGACCTGGGGATGCTGTGGGGCTGAAGGCGCTTGGCTCGATGCCCAGCACCAAACTAGCTACTGGCTGGGCATGTGGACTTGGCCAGCTCCTGGCTGCAGAGTGGGGGTCCTGCCTGCATGCACAAGCCAGCCTGCGTCCTGGGGGTGAGTGTGGCCAGCAGGATTAACTGGTTGTTTTGCAGCCAGGTCTCCGTACCGGACCCGTCCCCGGGAGCAGCAATGAAGACAGAACCAGGATTGGGTGAGAAAAAATGTTTTCTCTGAGTTTGGGGCAAGGGGAGTGGGGATATGGGTAGGATTGGTTCTGGTGGATGCATCTTGCTTACCAATGGATACAAAGGGCTTGGGAACATCATTCAAGAAGCTTCTGTTTATGCAGCCTCCAGGACCCCTGCTGCCACCCCTGGCCCTACCAGCCGCCCACCCTGGGCTGTGGACCCCTCATTTGCTGAGCGCTACGCCCCAGACAAGACGAGCACAGTGCTGAGCAAGCACAGCCAGCCGGCCACGCCGACCCCCATGCAGAACCGCAGCTCCATCGTGCAGGCAGCTCAGCAGGCCCCTGAGGGCCCTGGCCGCACCCCCCTCTGCTACAAGTGCAACAAGATCATCAGGTGAGCCCTGGCCTCTGCAGCCCTGCCGCCGTCCTGGGCACTGCCAGGCCCCGCTGTGGCTGATGTGGCTCTGTTCCACCACAGAGGACGCTACCTCGTGGCACTGGGACATTATTACCACCCCGAGGAGTTCACCTGCTGCCAATGCAGGAAGGTGCTGGATGAGGGTGGTTTCTTCGAGGAAAAGGGCTCCATCTTCTGCCCCAAGTGCTACGACACGCGCTATGCGCCCAGCTGTGCTAAGTGCAAGAAGAAGATCACCGGGGTGAGTGTCCCTCAGTCTGCCCTGCACCTCCCATCCCTGCGCCCTGCTTACCCGTGTGTCCCCAGCTCTGTCCCTTCTCGTCTTGCCTCAGGGATCTCCTGTTCCTTTCAGCCTTCTGTGGGGGTTCCCTGTGGTGTGGGGTGCTCCCTCCTGGCTGATAGCAGTTCTCTTCCAGGAGGTCATGCACGCGCTGAAGATGACCTGGCACGTGCAGTGCTTCACCTGCGCAGCCTGCAAAACTCCCATCCGCAACCGTGCCTTCTACATGGAGGAGGGACAGCCCTACTGTGAGAGAGGTAGGACCAGGGGAGGACCCACGTCACCCCACGCAGCCCCGGGGTACTGCCCACCGGTAGGACCGAGGATTGAATTGCTGTGGAGCTCTCCCCAGGATTCAGGGAAGGGAGGGGACCCCCGTGAACCTTCCATTCCTCTCCTCCCTGGTGCTGGATGGTGCCATTGCTGGCGTGTTGCCATGGTGATGATGGATGATTTACATCAAATATGAATGCTGCATCCTGGCTGGGGAGATTCACTTCCTCCCTGTGGCCCAGTGGTGGCAAGGTCCACCTTTCCCCATGTGCCCAGGGCTTTCGTGTGCTTCAAGTCCTGGAAGCAAGTTGTCCCGGGGGTGTGCTGCAGCCCTGCTGCACAGGAATGAGGGGTTGCAGTCTTGGAGGAACCACTGACCTATAGTGCTCTGCCTATGCTCACAGACTATGAGAAGATGTTTGGCACCAAGTGTCGTGGCTGTGACTTCAAGATTGATGCTGGGGACCGGTTCCTGGAGGCGCTGGGCTTCAGCTGGCATGACACTTGCTTCGTCTGCGCGGTGAGCCATGTGCCTACCTGCTTCCCCCTGCTGTGAGCTGTGTCTCACATGGGGTGCATGCTGCCGTCAGGTTTCCCCCACCTGGCTCTGTCCTGGTGGCTCAGCCTGTTGCTCCCTGACATCTGTTCTGGGCTGATGGCTAGGGCTCAGCATGGGAGAGGATGTTGGAGGCTGGCTCAGCCCTCCTGACTGCCTGTGCTCTCCTCCCCAGATCTGCCAGACCAATCTGGAAGGGAAGACATTCTACTCCAAGAAGGACAAGCCGCTGTGCAAGAGCCATGCTTTCTCCCATGTGTGAGGGGCAAGAGTTCAGCTGTGCCCATGCATGCCCCTGTTCCTGCATGCTCCTTTTCCACCCCTTCCCCTGACCCAGGGAGCCAGGCTGAGACTTCACCCCTTCCCCTTGCTCCTGACTCTTTCCTGGCAACTCCTGGCCGGGCCCTGGCAGAATCAGCACTGGCCCCTTCCATCTGGCTGGCTTCTTTTGTGCCCCCCTAGCTGACACAGGAGCCTGGGGAAGGGGATGCCACATAGGTCTCCTGCCCTGAGGCTGCACAGCACAATGCTTGTGCTGAGGCTGTGGCTGGGGAGGGTCTGGTTGCAGCAGAGCTGCTCCTTTGCTTTGATGGGGCCCAGCTGCCTTGGCACTCAGCACCAGGGCAGGGATGCTCCTAGCCCCCAGCCCCTGCCAAACTCTTCCCTCACCTCCCCAGCTTCATACTCAGCGCATGGGACTTGAGCACTGGCTCTTCTCCCCCTGCCCACAGTGACCCCACAGCCCAGCAGACTGCTGCCGTGGTTTCCTACCCAGCCCCACATGGCTGCACGCCATGGGGCTGGGGGGGCCGTGGGGCTGTCCAGTGGCAGCACCACCGTGCCATGGAGCAGGACTGTGTGCCATGCCTGCCCTGGCTGTGGGCTGGGAGTGCACACCAGCCTCTGGCTAATGGGTTCCCATCAGGCTTGAAAACTGCTTCCTACCAAAGAGCGTGTGCCACCGCTATCCCAGCACTGTAAATGCCTCTCCCAAACCCCCACCCTCCGTTTGGGCTGCATTTGATGTAGCCACGGTGCTTTTAGTGCCTTGAATAAACACTTTTTTGCGAGTGCCCGCTGTTTGGGGACTGTGGTTTTGCCTGAGCGTGGTGTGGTGGGGCCAGGAAGGTCACACGTGGCCCTCACCCTGCTCCTGCCTGGAGCTCTGCCCTGTGGCCTGACTCAGCTCCACCGAGCTGCTAGAGAAAGCTTTGTTTCCTGGGGTTTCTCCTCCTTTGGCCCCTGGCAGAACCCGTGCCCCTGGGTTGCCCTTGCCTGGTTTCAGCAAGCAGAGAGCAGGGAGGCAGTAATTAATCCAGACAGCAGAGCAACAACAGCGCTGAGCAGGAGATGGTGCTGAGCTGCGACCCCACAAGGGCATCCCCACTTACCAGCGTTGTCCCTGTGTCCCTGCCGTGCCTCAGCGCCCATGCAGGGGTCGAGTCACCGGCACGAGCAGCTCGAGCACAGCGCTTCTGGCCGTGCTTCGGCGTAGCGCAGCCAACCGTCCGCCCGTTAGCACAGCTGCTGTCCCGAAGGACGGGCGCGAGGCACCGCCGCCCTGGATCGGGCTCCGGAGCAGTGCATGTGGGGACGGCCGCTCCCAGCGCTCCGATCTGACAGCCGTAGCGGTCAGTAATAAAGCGATGAGCAACGGTAAGGAAAATCGCCTCGCTCATCCGTCGGAACGTTCTGCTGGGGGCAGGAGCCGGAACCCGAGCTCGCCCTTCTGCAGGTGGCGAATCCCCCCCGCACCCGGCGGCGCTTCTGCCCTTCCGCCGCCTCCCGCTCCCTCCTGACGGCCCCCGCCCTCACCGCGCACAGGAAGGAGGGTCGCGGGTGGGCTGCGGAGGTGGAGCCCGGGGAGGGGCCGCGCCGCTCCGCTCCGAGAACAAAGCCCCGCGGCTCCGCGGCTCCCCGCGCCGCCCCCACCCCCACCCCGAGGCAGCCGAGCCGCTCGCAGGGCGGCCCCGGCCGGCAGCTGCTCGACAGCTGCTGCCCAGCTCCCGCAGCCTCGCAGGGCGGCTCCGGCTCGGGAAGTGCTGCGAGCGGGGCGTGGGCAGGGAGCAGCGCTGCGTCCCGCTGCGCTGAGGGGCGCGGGCTGCGCCCACGGGCACGGTGCCCTGACCTGCAGGGACCCCGTAGTTCCCTGCTCGGGCTTCTGCGAGCACGGCCCCTGCCTGGGATGGGGACGTGGGACGGGCAGCGGGAGGCCGTGTCGGTCCCTCGCAGGAGGACGCTGACCCATGTGAGAGCAAATGGGGACCGCTACACCCCGGAACCACAGACGGGGTCAGCTTGGAAGGAACTTTGTGGGTTCACGCAGAGGCACAGCTTGGGGGAGATGATGTCCGTGTCGAGGGCTGGAGGGGCCCAGGGTGGGTTGGGAACAGAGGGATACATTTGACAGCAGCTGGAATGAGAAGGGATGGAGGGGTCCCCTTCATCCTATTGGCAACCCCACAAAGGCTGGGCCCGGAGAAGCGAGGGCACAACGGCGCTCACGGGGCAGAGATGGCAGAGCGGGGTCTTCGGAGGTGAAAGCTCCGGGGCTGTGGGCGCCCGGGCTGCGGGAAGTTGAGGCCACGGGGATCCCGGGGCAGAGCGGGACCGAGGGCGCATCAGCGGAATTCGGGGTGCTCAGAGGGAGCGCAGCCTGAATTTGGGGCCATAGGTGCAGAGCAGCTCCTCTGGTCGAGCTCAGCACCCCGTTCCGGGAGCTCTGCCCCGCGGCGGGTGCTGGTGGGGGTGCCCCAGGGGTCGCCCCGGGGGAGCAGCGGGGGCCGGGACGGGGGCGGGGGCCGGGGCGGGGGCCGGGGCGGAGGGGGGGCCGCCGTTCGCGGCGCTAGGACCGGGCGCGGCGGCGGGCGGAGCCTCCCCGCCGCTCGCCCCTCCGCCCGGCCGCTGCGGCAGTGTCTCGGAGGCGGGCAGGCGGCCGGTCCCTCCGGTCCCCCGGCAGCATCCCGGCCCCGCCATGGCTGGCGTCGGCTTCGCGGCGCACCGCCTGGAGCTGCTCGCCTCCTACCAGGACGTGATCGGCGAGGACAGCCCCACCGACTGGTGAGCGCGCCCGCCGCCGCCGCCGCCCCTTTGTCCCCGCCGCCCGGGGCCCTTTGTGCGCGGAGCCGCCCGGTGCACCGAGCGCGCCGCCGCCGCCACTACCGGGACCGCGCCCCGCGCTGCGCCCCCCGCGCCGCCCTGCCGCCCCCCGCCACCTGCGCCGGGCCCGGAGCCCCGGTACACAAAGGCGGGCGGGGCCGGCGGGACGGCGGAGGGGGTGTGCCCGGCCCGCCGCCCCCGGTGCCCGCACCTGCCCGCCGCATCGCACCGCACCGGGCCGGGGCGCGGCCCCGCTTTGTCTGCGCCGGGCGGCACGTGGGGGCACCGGGGGCCCCGCTCCGAACCCCCAATCTCCCTCCTCTCGGCGGCACCGCGCGTGGGGAGCGGCGGGTGGGAAGGGCCTGGGGGACTTTCGGTGCTGGGCCCGGTACTGGGATGTGGCGGAGTTTTGCCATTGTCTGGAACCGCTGGTGGGTTGGGGGGGGACGGGGAGCCCTTAGGCTGGTCCCGGCAGAGCCAGGCCCGCAGCTGTGAGGGAACAGGGGGCCCCACTGCTCCCGGTTCCCACAGCCCCGGGGGGAGCTCTGGGTGCCTGGTCCCCGGGAGGGCCGTGCAGGGTGCCCTGGGGCTGGGATGCGGTGGGCAGGGGCAGGGGATGGGGGCACCCTGGGGTGTTCCACCTGCAGCCCGATCCCTCTGGCAGCCTGTGCTGGGAGCCCGGTGGTTCCAGGCTACAATGCAGCTTTGCTACGGGAGCAAATCCCACCACTGCCCCACTGCTGCCACCTCCCAGCACCCAGCTGCCTTCCAGGACCCCCTGTCCTTGTCCCTCGGGTGCTCGCGTGGGGGTGCTGTGGGCAACACAGAAGCTGGTACTGGTGTGTGCCATGCGTGCTGAGCTCCTGCCAGGCTGCGTGCGCTCTCCTGTTGGGTGTCCACTGGTGTGGGCCTGAGCATTGCCTCCTCCCCACCAGTCCCACTTTCCAGGTCCCCACAGCCCTGGTTGCGGCACAGTGGCTGAGTGTGGTGCATGTCGGTGGCCAGGAGGCAGCTGTCAGCCCAGGGTACATCTGGCTTCCCAGCATCCGCTGCAAAGCTCCCTGCCGGAGCTGCTGAGAGCAGCAGAATTGGTTCCCGGGGAAGGCAAGCGCTGGGAGCAGGCCACCCCTCTTCCAGCACTGAACCCCATAGCTCCTTTGTTATGGCTGAGCCCCATGCTCCCCATCTCCTCCAGTCCACCATCACCAGTGGTGCTCGGTGCCAGCAGCAGCAGCATCCCCACTGCAGGGCCTAGTGTCCACCCTCAGTGAGGGATGGGGAGCGGTGCAGGGGGGCCACATGCCCATCGTGGCTGGTGGGACTGTCCCCAAATGTTGGCACTGGCCAGGGTGAGCTGGGGCTGTGAGGACACTGTGCTGGAGTGCAGTTCTAGGCTGGCTCGGGGGATGCCGGGATCCCCGTGGCCAGGGGATGTTTAGTCTGGGATTTCCCCCGCCCCAGCCCAGTCCTGGAGGGTCCGAGGCTCCCCTCCCCCTCCCAGCCTCGCGGAGGCTGCTGGGGCCCATTACTCGATAGGAAAGGAATTTGGTGCTGCTTTCTGAGCACGCTGACTCCCTGGAGCTCGCAGCCACATTGGAAACACATGTGCCTGGCTTGGGGCAGGCAGAACAGGGCACCCCCCGTTTCTGACCCCACATGGGGGGCAGGCAGCTGCGGGAGAACCGCTGAGGTCTGGCACAGAGCGATAGGGGCTGCAGAAGGGCAGTGGGCTCTGCCCCCTTGGCAGTGATGGGGAGATTCCAGTCACGAGCATCCCTGCTCCCTGCCTGTCCCTACATCACCCGTGGGTGATCTCACAGCTCAGGTGCTGGGGAAGCTGCATGGGAGGATGGAAGCATGGGAGGAGGTGGTCCATGGGGTCGTGGTGCTGTTGGTCCCTGCTCACGGTGATGCTCTGGGCTCTGCGCGGGGCTGGGGACACTGGAACTGTCCCTCCTGATGCAGGAACAGGGGCTGTTCGAGGGCAGTGCCCACAGTGCTGAGCCCCAGGAGAACTTCTGGGTGCCAGCAGCAGCGTTGTGCTCGGGGTGCTGCCCTGCGTGGGAGAGGCTGGGGGTGGGCGGCAGGCAGCGGGTGCCCTGGCTGCTCTGCCTTGGCTGTGCCCTACTTTTGCATCCTGTTCCCTCTGCCTTATGAACCCCCCGGTCCCGCCTGCAGCCCCCCACATTGCAGCCCTGTCCCTGGGGGAACAGAGCAGGGCCAGGGCTGGAGCTGCCACCTTTTTCAGAGCTGTGAAGCCGCCCTGCTGCCTCCAGCCTGGGAGCCGCGCTGGCTCAGGCGGCCGATTAGCGGGATTTGGATGTGCGGATTAAAGTCAATCTTGTTGGTGCAATTATCTGTGGCTCACTGCAAGAGCAGGGCTGGGAGGAGATCAGGGGCTATGGGTGCTGCAGGGTGGAGGGAGCCTTGTTTCGTCCTCTTTGTTAGGCAAGGCCCTGAATTTCCATTATTTCTCAGCTGGAAGGAGGCAGACAAGGCCCAGGATGGAGCTGCGTGGCTCTGGTGTGGGGCTCTGCCCGTGGGGGGCACCCGCTTCCCATTCCTGCTCCCATCCCTGCTTTCCCTCACCACTTCCCCTTCCCATCCCCAGTCCCCATCCTCTTCCTGGAAGCCACCAACTCGTGGGCTCCTCCTTCCCCAGCACCGCAGGGATTTTGGCTCTCCATTGCTGCTGATCGGCAGAGCTGCCCGCCCACTCTGCGAAAGGATTATGTGGGGGGGAAGGAAGGCGGGGAGTCCAGCACGGTTGGCCCCTGCCCCCCGGGCACAGCGCGTGACAGTGGTGGGTTTGGGTGCCCGCCAGGTCACCGCTGCCTGCCTGCCTCCCCCGCTCCCCCCCACTAATCACCTCGTCATCAGGGCGAGCTGCATCCCAGCTGGGATGGGGGTTGCCATAGTGACGGAGGATGCTGGTTGCCTAGCAACAGCCATCCCCTCGCCCACCCGCCCTGGACCA